CCACAAATGTCTTATTTGAAAAATGGAGCCAGAACTGACACTTATGCTAAACTTGGGGCCAAACTAGGGTATTAACCCTACGCACAGTATGATTTATTTGATAGTGAAATGACCAAAGTGGTCATCCTAAAAACCCCACCGATCAGCAATTTCAAATCCCTGTTAATCATATGCATGTTTTGCCATCTTATATCTTGTAGATAAAATCCAGGCTTTCAATTTTAAACACTCGTAGTCTATTGGAAAAAGGACTTGGCTAATTATCACGAATGGAGAAGAGATTTTGTACATAAAAATATTTCTCGTTTTTTTATTCTATTTGATTATATGCTGTAATTGTAATTCAATTACGTTGAAGTTCTGTTTAATTATGTTTTCTATTCCTTATTTGAAAACAAGTTTGTTTAATTATGTTGAAGTTAATTATACCAATTAGGGGTGAACACATTCACCCGCAAACCAACCCACCCATCCAACTCGATTCAACCCACCCGTATTTATCGCTAAAAAAAGGTTTTGGGTTGAGTGAGGGTTTTCTTTTGTACAACCCGCCTCTTTTGGGTTGGGTTTGGATTTTGGATTACACAATCCGTAGAACCCCGACCCAACCCGTGTTCCAACTATTGATATGAGTTCGTATCCAAAAAATACTTATGAGAAAATTAAGATATTTCGCCATGTTTTTCTCTCATGGTCTCACTAATCTAATGCATTCTTCGACATAAAGTTTAGACATAGATTTAATATAGCTATGATTCACGTAATCCTTTTTCTTATGTACAATTTTAATAGAATAACATATTATGGATGCGTTCGTTTATAACATTTTTAGCCTATTTCAACAAATATTGTGAAAAAAACTAGACATATGTTGAAGTAAATCACATTTTATTAAAATTTAAATAACATTTATAAATTTAAATATATTTCACCTCGGTTTATTCGTTTGATATTTTAATTTTTTTTATAATGGTGATGATTGTATTGAAACGGAAAGACGAACAAAACAAACCGTCAACAACGGGACAGTACAAAACAAAACAAAAAGGAAAGGGAAAAAACCAGCAGTTCACAAGCAATGAACATCTACAAACAGGGGGAAGGGTTGCTGCTAGATGGAAAATAATTAGTTATAAAATATTTTTATGGTGTAAATTAATTACATATTTTGTGTTGCGTTGAGTTGAGTTTTTACTTAAAAATAGTGTCAACCCAACCCAATTACAAACAAACCGTAGGATTTTAATTTTTTTGGGTGGGTTTGGGTTTAATATTTCCCAAACCGTAGTGCATGAGTCGGGTGATTAAAATGGCTAAACGGGGACCACCCGACCCATGTACACCCCTAATACCAACAAATACAAAATAATAAGGGTTAATATATTTATATGGCATGAACTTTTCACATAATAAACATCTTGGCCAATCTTTTTGATCTATAACATCATGGCCTGAACTATACACCAAAGTAACGAAATTGGCCAAACCCGAATATTGACCGTTATCTTAGACGGTCAAACGTGTTGACTAATGATCAACGCGTCACGTCATTGTCCAGTCATCGAGTTCTGGAATTTGCCGGGACTAGCAAACAAAAGGATGATGGTGGTGAAGCAAAAGGTGACCTAAGGACTGCTCGCAAGAGAGTTCGGGATCATGATGGTGATGCTGAGTCAGAAGTTGATGATCTCGGTGGTGGTCGTACTAATACATCATCTTTCCACGATATCGGTAGTTAAGATGGTGAAACTGGTGTATTACTGGATTCATTAGAATCTGGTGATGCAAAACCTGATAATACAATTTATCTTTCGCTGGACTGGGAGAATGAAGAGCTGTATGAGAAAGCAGTGGATAGGTGTAGTTTTTGCTCTCTGCAATGTTCTTGTGCTCAGGTTTATATTGGGTTGAGATAATACCATGCACCTGCTAGTGTATTTAGTCCATTTTGAAGCAAGCTCTGTTACTCTTTAATATGCACACATTAGTTCTGGAGGAAGTGCTAAGCCCTGACTCCAAGTACGATGTACTATTATTTCATGCAGTTTGATTGGTGAAGGAAAACTAATGGAAGCTCTTGCCCTTTCGGATCGCTTTTTACGTGGTGGAGCGTCAGACCAGTTGCTTCTTTTTGGGTCGAGTTTGTTCTGCGTTCTCAAATTGGTACTCTAGTCCTTGTTGGCTTTAACTGGGTTTGCCTTAGACATCTGACCTACAGTCGGAATACTTGGTGTTAGGGCTGTCCATTTGGTTTTGGTTTTAATCGAAACCAAACCAATTGGAAAGCTAATGGTTCTAGTTTTTTTTTTTTTTTTTTTTTGCAAAGTCAGGTGTTGAAATAGGCAGCCATACAAAAGAAATAAAAAGCGCGAGAATCGACCAATAGTCGAACTCTCGATGAAAGGGCCTTTTGTGCCACAAGTAGGGCTGCAAATGAGCCAAGCTACTCGCGAGCAACTCGAGGCTCGAATCGGGAAAAACTCGTTCGAAACTCGATTCGTTTACTGACGAGTCAAGCTTGAGCCTAGCTATGTTCAGCTCGTGAAGCTCGCGAGCTAGCTCGACTCGGTGGCTTGTTGAGCTCAACTCGTGAGTTAGCTCATTTAGAGCTCATGAGATGTCTCAACATTGTGGTTTGAGGGCCAACTTGATCACTGACTTATGGACTAATCGATCTAATTTGGACTTTCATAATTCATAGGATTGTTAAATTATATATCTCACATCATGTGAAGTTTAACATGTTGAACATGTAAGAAAATATGCCTTATTTTTAACTCTATAAAGAAATTATGTACAAAATTATTTCGATACTATGAAATAACATGATTTGAACTAGTTAAAATTTATTAACTAAACAATATGACACCTAAAAATTATAATATAAGATTAATTAATGTTGAACATTTGATTATTTTTTATCACTACATCAATCACATGTACCATACACGACATACAAAATGAATGTATTAAATACGATCTAAGAATTTAGTAAACAAGCCTAACTCGAACTCGACTCGACTCAGCTCGTTAATAAATGGCTCGGGCTCGAGCTCGGCTCATTTGTTAACGAGTCAAGCTCAAGCTGGGGTAAAACTCGGCTCAGCTCGGCTCATTTGCAGCCCTAGCCACAAGATGGGCAGCCCTATTGAGTCGATGAAGAACAAAACAATAAGAAACATAATGGAAAAGAGAGCCAAGCCCCGAGTATCCTTCAGGTAAAGCTCCACCTTGATCATGAGTGAAGTCACCTCCGACCATCCGTCGAATCAGATGTTGATAATCCCATGAAATTTGGAAAATAAAATAAAATGCGTTAGGCACCCATTGTATTACTCACTCCTTAAATTACAATTTTAGAAACCAAAAATTAAAAACATGAAGATAGAATACGTGGTAACCAAATCCATGCCATACTTTTAGAAAAATGGTCTTAGTTACCATAATACTAAAATAAAATCAAGATAAAAACTAATAATGAAATCAAGAGAGGAAACGTGTACCTGGACACTATCATTCCACATGACCACGAACGGAAGTTTTGCGACAAAAGTGTGGCATAGGGAACCGACGTAAAGAGGTAGATCTGGAATATCTGGGAGATGCCGGCGGGAAGGGGAAGCCAAACGGAAGCTACGTAGTTGAATGAATCTCCGCACTCACAATCGTCCCCCATCATTTTCATCGCAAAGGTAGGTGATGATGGTGGCAGGCACGAATCCGTAGTAGCAGCGGCAGGAGGCAATGACAATGAAGAAGAGATACCACCACGGACCACCAAAACAAATTTCACAAGATTAAATTGTCAATAATCAATAACTAACATCAATAGAGATTGGAAAAAGAATTGATAGAGTAGAGAATATTATTCAGGCCATATAAAGATCCTGAAAATCCCATTAAAAGCCAAACTGCCGCATGACGGAGGCTCATAGTCGTCGCAATTAAACGACGAGAAGTAGAATTGACTCCCATGCTCCGATAAGAGATTTGTTTTTATATTAGTGTTTCTTTTATTGATTCAAACAGGGAGGAGTTCTGCTCCTCAAACCACATGACAGAGGAGAAAGGAATAGAGAAATCCATTCTGACCTGACCGGCGAGCGTCAATTTCAAGCAGGGTGGCGTTTCGGATCAAAGCTTGATGGGCGAAGGTGCGGTCAGCGATGAACACGAAGAGCCATCAGCAGAATCAAGGATAGATTTCCAGATCCAACCATCACAAGGCCAAAGCGTCGGAAGCAATCACTCTCTATCGACTTCGCAGCGGAGTAGGGTTCGATCTTCGGCAGTTCGATGATGGCGGAGGAGGATGAGATGAGTCGGCCAGGGAGAGGAAACGACCTTTAATAGTCTAATGGTTTTGGTTTTGGTTTTAAACCAATAAGTAACTTAATGGTTTTGGTTTGGTTAAAACCGAAAAACCAATAGAAACCATTAAGAAATCAATAAGAATAAAATTATTTATCAACAAATATTTTTTTTTTGTTTCTTTTGACACGCATGCCAACCAATAATTTGTTATGGCCATTTACCATTATTATGACGTTTATTCAATATAAAGGAAGGAAATAGGAATAAATATGAGTGTATGAGTACATGTTGGTTTTTTGGTTATCCAAACCAAAACCAAAACCATTAAGGCCCTTATTGGTTTTTGGTCAAACCAAAACCATTAAGGTCAAACCAAAACCATTAAGGTCCTTATTGGTTTTTGGTTGTCAAAAACCAATAAGGGACTTAATGGTTTTGGTTTTTGGGATTTGGTTTTTGGTTTTTGGTTTTTTATACTTAATGGTTTGGTTAACCAAACCAAACCAAATTGACAGCCCTACTTGGTGTAATCTGTAGAACATCTGAAATTTATGTACTAATCACTTGGATTCTACCTTATGAGTTATGAAGCTACTAAGATACATGCATGTAAAAGTAACTATGGGGAATGTGTTTCATGATCTTGAATATGTCATTTGAATCTAATAAGCTGTATCCTCAGGCATATGAATACTTGGGAACTTGATGCTGCCCTCGATGTGCTCACAATGTGCAGCTGCCACTTGACTGAATGTGATTCTGTTAGGAATGAGGTATTTGCTCCTTTATGGTATCTTTTATGTTCTCATCTCAAAGTATTTGATACTCACAACTCACAAGACACAACTGTCAACTGGTTGTTCGGAGTTCAAAGTTTGGCTACCCATCGGATTCCTATATTTTCTTGTCATGATCCCTTTGCTCTGACTTTGTCATCTTGTTACTCACTGACATTGTCTTTTGAGATCCTTAGGTCTTACAGCGGAAACAAGCTTTGCAGAGATACAGCCATATACTTGGTGCTGATGATCGTTATAGCAATTGGCAATAGGTGATGCTAGATTGTTCGCTTCTGGGAGAGGATTGAAATAGAGGATAATAAATTTGTGGATTTCTTCCTGTTGATACTACATAGACACTGAATCACTTAAAGACCTACAGCTAACTGGAAACGTAACCGTATTGTTTAAACACACAAGCAAGATTCCCTTTATAAAATTTCCTATCAAAGCTGCTGCTTACGCAATTTTGGACCAAGAACAGAAGAACACAAAACCGAGTATGCAGAACTGAGAAAACACAAGTAATTTTCACGTGGTTTCCAATCGCTCACTGCGATATTGACTATTCCACCGTAAGAGAGTCACGATTGTGTGATCTCTGCTATTCACTATAAGTATATGTCTTGAACCTCTTCAGTTTACAAATGAAGAACCCGGTATTTTCCAATACCACCACTTCGATCTCCCCGTCAATCGAAAACCATGTGTCCCAACACATAACCCAAGCTATCTAACCGATGCTTGAACTAAGCAACTCCCCGTATGCTTGAACCCCTTTCCTACCAAATACTCTTAGCAAATACCGCTCTCTAGTATTTTGATCTCCCGGAAAGATGCTCGACCTATCTGCCCAAGAGCCCTTTTAAAATAGTCGCACTTTTGAGCTATCTTTCCATGTTAGGCTGATTCTAAATCTTCCACACAAATGGTAAGCTTCTTGACTCTTGTTTCCCAATCTTCTCACGTTGCTGCTCTTTTCAAATTCTTACTTTTATTGGCTTCTTCTGATTGGAAACTACCAGCTACGAAATGGATGACCTTGCTTTCCTTAATGAACAAGAAGATGCGCCCGGCAAGCCTGATAAAAAGGTAAGTTTCTTCCATACACACATAAGACCTAGTTTTAATAACACGTTTTCTCCCAACATCACGAAGAACAGAACACTAGGAGGGCGCAATCAATGAATGAAAATGACGCAAACTGTAGAGATTGAAGTTGCTTCCAATTCAATATTAAGAAAAATGGGGATAATTAACTAATAGATAGATAAGATTGGGCGGGGACCAGAACAGACTGGAATTCATGCACCTGGGCCTGTTTTGTTGGGCAGGGTAGGGGAATTGATTGCGGCGGGGCGCCGGAGAGGAAGACGAAGATGGCAGCTGGATTCCAATCTATCGTCGCAACTCAACCCGCCGCTCTCTCAGCTCCGGCGCAACTCAACCCGCCGCTCTGATCACTTCTGTAGGTTACCAACACATCTGATCTTGTTTGCACCATTTGTGTTATTTACATTTTTGTGTGTAATTATGGTAGAATGTTTTAGAAACTGTTGATACTGTGTTTGGATGGAAAATATTGGATACTCAATGAGTATTTTGATTAACGAACACAAAATCAGGACGTAAAATAAATGATTTATGTCGGTTAAATGAAGCAACCTTAACCAACCGACAAAAAACATAAGTTTTCTTGTATTGTTCATGCCTTGTTACAATCAATCAAATAAATACACACATTCTGAGAATCCTAACTTCCAAATCACCCCATAAGATTCTCTTGTTGTCAGTCTAGAAATCAGTACGGTAGTGACCACTCATAAATGATATATATTCGTTTCAATAAAAAAATGATATATATTTGTCGACTAAATTACATGTTTGGTCACTCAAATTATATAAATCTTTCACGTTTGCCACCCGAATCACTTTTTTCATATTGACCATTAACTTTACTATTCGTTTCACTGTTAGTCCCCGTCATACTCCATTAACACTGTTAGTATTTTTATGATGTGGCAAATGGAACTGTTGACTGGACTGCTAAATTAATGACATGTCAATTTAAAAAAATAAAAATAAAAAAAATTAATTAGAGGAGTTTCCCACCTTCCCCTTCCTCGTCTTTTTCGCCTTCCCCATCTTTACGCAGAACCGCAGACACCCCCACGGTGGCGCCAAATGCAGTCAAAATTGGGATTTTAAGTAAAATCGAAAACAGTAGTAGAATCGTAATCGTAAATTAAAATCATAAGATTTTAAGATTCATATTAAAATAAACACTTACACACCAGATAGTAATAAAAAATCATATACTGAATAACAATCAACCACAATTTACATAACTACTTCCCATGATAAGTTTGTTTGCTAAATAACTACAACTAAATCCATATATTTATTCTTGTACATAATATAAACACACAAATAAACAACCTGAAACCTCATGTAAATCACTTAGTTAATAGTTAAGAGTATAAAAACTCAAAAAATTATTAGGATCAACATTAAAATCACTTACACATCATCATCATCCTCAAGTTCACCCTCAATCTCATCCTTGTCTATTTGCTTAAGGACTAATATCATTACTCTTAGGATCACTTAAAGTACTTTCACCAATAACCATATTTCCTTGATCACCATCATCTGGCAAAGATAACTCTTTGATTGGTACATTCCCTTGTTAATTGATAAAAAGTCAGGGATAGTGGTGCTGAAGTATTGGGAGATGAACGAAAGCCTGCAATGGAAAGGAAATTTGGATTATTGTGAGGGTGCTGGGAACAAACTACAAGCTAATTATTGGGAGGGTGAAGATATCGTTGATGGAAGGATTTGGGCGTCGACGTTCGAAAGCGTAAGATACGAGGAAGAATAAAAATAAATTAAGGGTTGTCTATCGGGTTAGGGTTGTGTTGTTCATTATGTTGGGTCGGGGAAGTAAACCTGACTAGTTCATGGGTAGAACCCGACTTGACTAGCCTAATTTTGCTCAAATTGATATGAGCCTTAAAATCGTTAGAAATCGTAGATTTCAAGGATTTTAGAGTTTTCAATCGGGATTTTATAGATTTTAAGGTTCAAAGATTTTACACTAAAATCATGACCGGAACCCATTGCCATTGGTAAGATAGTAAAATCGTCAAGTTTTAAGATTAAAATTAGTATTTTGACTACATTGACGGCGCTGATTTTCTATTGGAATATGCTTCTTATGAATCAAGAAGAAGCGCGGGAATCGACGGGGTCAAATGGAATATCGGGGACCAAGGGCAGATGGGAGAGAAAAGCAGAATCGCTCAATTCGGATTTCAATCGAGTGGCAGTTCTTTCTTTGTTGTGCAAACTCAATCACATGCTCGAGCCAAAGGAACCAGCTAGGGTCCTTTGGAATTGAAAGGGAGTGAGAAGTATCTGCGATTTTGGGTTTGGGGTTCTTATTTGTCTTTGATTATTGATTTATTATTTTCTTCTTTGATCTGTTATGGAATTCTGGGTTTGTGATGGAAGTAGAGAAGAAGAGCATCATTTGCTGGGGAATATGAACAATGAACAGACGAAGAAACAAGGAAAGTTAAAGTCTACAGAGGACAATATTTTCTTCTCACACACTTGGATCTCATCGGCCCCTGCCTTGACCTCTCGACCTTATCGACAACGGCGACGTCTCTAACCTCGCTCCGGCTAGCCTCCTTCCAGATTTGGACCAAGGATTCGTTCTCCAGGTGCCGAAGCGAAGTCTGAAGGAAATGCATATCACAGACTATGTATTGGTCTGGGGCGTGGGAAAAATAGAAGTTCCGCTTATTTGAGTTCGAGATCTCCGCCCCCGAACTCAAGTCTTTCCATTTCCTAGATTGCTCTTTTTATTGCAGAGGTTGAATTGGGGGAAGAGATCCCTTATAATAAATGGAGGAAGAGATGGCAGATCGGAGGAAATGAAAAAGAAGGTCCAATAAAGTTGTGGTTGCCGCTGATATGCTTTGTTTGATATGGAGGAGGAGCTACTCCTATATTGTTCTGTGCGAAGATGGGGAAGGCTAAGAATACTAGGCACTATGGAGGGGAAGGTGGGTCCTCTCCTCTAATTACTTGTTTTTTTTTTTAAATTGACATGTCATTTAAGTTAACGTTCTAGTCAGTAATTCTTTTTGCCACGTAGTTAAAAAAAGCAAATAGAGTTAATCGAGTCTGACGGAGACTAACGACCGATGACAAACAGTAAAATGAATTATAAAGTTAGTGGCTAATATGAAAGAAAAATAATTCGGGTGACAAACGTGAAAGATTTATAAAATTTGAATGACCAAACGTGTAATTTAGCCTATATTTGTCTGTTGTGTATGATTAATCACCAATCACCATCATGGAGTCCTGCCCTTCTTAAGTGGTTGAGGTTTGTTGATTTAACAGTGACAGAAGCTGTCCAAGTTCTTAGGATAGGATACCAGAATCACAGAGCATCAAAGAAAGGGCATACACTGAACTAAATATTGGCTAAAATATATGGCGGTCCAAGGTGTAAAAGCTGCACAGATTGTCTTCTCTCAGCATCAAACATGGAGTACTACTCAAGTATTCTCTCCGCGCCGCTCTTGGAAACCCGCAAAATTCACCGTCGTCGCACGGCAGAGCAGCAGCAGAGGCAGCCGGAAAGTACTCCATGCGACGCCTCCGGCGACGGTCCAACGCCGATCAGGGAATTACGGTCCGGACATATGGGAGTCCCATGAATATTCCAAGCCCGATGACAACACTTCCGTAAGCATAAATATGTACCACTAATTTTGTTTTGGTTCCAATACTGAATTTGAACTGTATAATAATTGAGGGTGTTATATATGCAGAGGAGGTGGGGACATCGAGTGGAAGAGCTAAAGAAGTATGTGAAACGTGAATTGTTGAGCAAAATTGGTTGCCGGGAAGATGATGATGATGAAGAAATGGTGGCAGAAAGGATTGAAATCATTGACACATTGCAGCGGTTGGGAGTTGGTTATCATTTCGAGCGCGAGATTCAGAGTGCTCTGGGTAGGATTGCGGCGAACCCACCAATTGCAAACAACCTCCACATTGCTGCCCTCCGTTTCAGACTTCTCCGACGGGCCGGAATCCGGGAGTCTCCAGGTACATCGAGCCGAGATATATCGGCCAAAAATAAATAATTAACTCGAGTTATTGACAAATATCCAAATATGAAGTTTATATCCTCTGTACAAAAAACAGGGCACATACCATAAACACTAATTAATTAATTAATTAATGACACAAGTTTAATTCACTGTTGCATACGAGAAAATAGCCAATTACCATTTTTATCGGAATAATGCCACAGATTACTGTTCACTAATGTTTGTAATTATACTATGCAGTCCGCTCTATGATAGACCCGACTGGCCACTGAAAATTGTTTGTGGCCTACGGCCTGTGCGGCTCTCCAAGTGGTGTAGGACCGCCGGTTACTTCTCTAATCAGTTTTGTGGCTGGTCCTTTTCACACCTCAATTTGAATTATAAAGGTTTATGTACATAATATGTTAATAAAATGAAATACTTTTTATTATTTGATTTATTATTAGAACACACATTACCTAAGATTTACGTAATACCGTTCTATAACAATTACGTAATTTATAAATTTATTAACGTAAAACTTATTGATTGGAATGATAGTTATTTATTCCGTATCAATTAAGTGTACGTTTTTTAAAATAGTTAAAACACTATGTATAAAACTTATGAATGGATAGTTATTTCTTATGTATCACTCAAACAAAACGTGATACAAATATATAGCAAGTCTTTCATAATATAAGTTTGAATGAAAATTAGTTTACTGTTAAGTAAACCGTTGATCAGCCCATAAATGTGTATTACATAAAGATTCTGTAAAGTTAGTTATTATTTTCATAATAGTTTAATCAAATATGATATAATTTGTAAATTAACTATTGTATTAGTATTACTTACAATATTCCCCATGTTAGCAATTTGCATTACATAAAGTTTATGTTAGGTATGCTAACTTTTACATAATTTTTTAATCAATTGTGATACTTTTATGTTACTTTTATTATTATATCACACATCCCATAAGATTTATGTAAAACTGTTGTATAACGGTTACGTAAACTATATATACATTGCTTTGAACTTATGAAGAGATAATATTTCTTATCTATCAATTAGATAAACTTATTATGCAAACTTCTTATAATGATTAAAAAATTACATAAATCTTATAGAGTATCTTAGCTTTTTTTTACAATCCAACTAAATAATTAAATGAACAAATGAAATTTTAAATATAATAACTTTCTTACCGCTGCGAAGCGCGGGCCAAAAAACTAGTAACTAATTAATAGTCTAATACTATATCTCAATCACCAGTACAACTCAATAACTCAGACGATGCTAATACGGATCTGATGGCATATGTTGTTGAAACCGAAGCATATATTGTGAATTCTTTTTAACGAATGATAATATTGATAAAAAGCAGATGTAGTTTTCCAAGGATTTAGAGAAGAGGATGGCAAGTTCAAGCAAGAAATCAGTGGTGACGTGAGAGGATTGTTGAGCTTGTACGAGGCTTCCTATCTGGGTTTCCCAGGTGAAATCGTTCTGGATGAAGCCAAGAGCTTTGCCAGGACCCATTTGCAGGAGATTTATCGCAAGGCTGAAACGGCCATGGCAAATCCCACCACCATGCTGGTGCAGGAGGCCAAGCAATTGGCTCGAGCCTTGGAGCTGCCATCTCACTGGAGGACGCGGCGGTGCGAGGCGTGGTGGCACATTGAGCAGTACAGAGAGGACAGTACAGAAGGGATGGATCCAGCATTGCTTGAATTAGCAATGTTGGAGTTCAACATGGTCCAGCTTGTGTACCAAGCCGAACTGGAGGAGCTCCACAGGTAAACAACTAGGGGACCCTCCTACAATGTTTTGAAGTTACTATAACAGTATAACTTGAACTTTTTGACTTGCTATAGTAGGTTTTACAGCTCATATTACGTAAATCTAATGTTTATTACGTAACAATTACGTAATGCTTGTTAGTCTTACGTAACAGTTAAACTCGAAGCGTTACGGAAGTTTTCCGTAACGACTTATCATTTTACGTAACGCTATGTTAACATTCATTACGTAAAAGCATCGTCTATTATATAAAGCTTTCGTAATGACATTTTACAACGGTTACATAAAATACACGCTCATTACGTAAATGTTACTTAGAGAAGGTTATTTCTTACGTAACTGTTAACTTTGAAGTGTTACTTAAGACTTCCGTAATGACTTACCACATTACATAACTTGTTTAATATTCATTACGTAAAATGACCATCCATTATGTAAGGCTTCCATTATGATACTTTACCACTGTTAAGTAAAATATACACGATAAAGGTAAGGTGATAGATAATAGGCAAAATACACTTGTATAGCCAAAATTTTTGCGCTTGTGCCAATAATAGCCAAATTTGGCGAAATACCACTTAGAGCCACTTCCGTCCAATTCTTCAATGCTGTAAACGTTAAGTGTGACTGGGCAAACGACACGACTTACGTGGTCAGCCACATGGGCATTTTTTCCCCCAAAATCATACTAGGTGGAAATTGGCTTTTTTATTATTATTAAATTAATAAAAAAAGAAAATACCATTTATTTCTCTCTGAAATCCAAAGTCCAAACACTGTGGAAAACAAAAAAATTCCCAAATCCCTCTGCTATCTTCCTCCATCGTCGCAAATCTCCCATGTTGCAGCATCCTCTCAGCTGACAATCCACCGCTCCAATGCCACCGCACTGTCAATCCAACGCAGCATCCTCTGCTCGTCCTCTTCGTCTCCTTTTGGGCATTCACCGAGCTCCTGGTGATTACGTCCTTCCGCCGCCACTACCTCCCCAAATCCCTAACGATCCCGCAGCAGATCTGCCTCTGCCGCCTCCACTTATCTCCCTCAATCTCGGCCTCTTCCAGCCCGGGTTCCTCGTCGCCTTGCTTTACCTAGTCAAAATATCCGTCAAGAAGAGCACGCCGCTCGGATCCCGCGCCGTCCTCTCCATCTCTGTCACCTGCCTGCCGGCGCTCCTCCTCCAGCTCGTCTTCATCTTCGGCGCCTCCTCCGGCCTCTCCCGCCCTTCTTCAATTGGAGCTACCTCCTCTCCTGCACCGTCCTTTCCCCCAACAACAAGATCCCCATCGTCGGGTTCACCCCTCTCGTCACCATCTTCGTCGCCGCCTTCTACACAGGGGTCATTTACGCCGCCATTACCGAGTAGCGTTACAAAGTATTGGATCTGGTTTTTATGGATCGCCCTCTTGAATTCGCTTCCTGGGTTTTTCATAAAGAATGATTTCTGATTTGTGGGCGGTTAATTGTTGGGTGGAATTTGAGCATGAGAAGTACTGGGAAGAACACCCGGGGGAAGTTGTGCCTCTGATGACAATTATAAAATTTATGGTCTTGGAATTGTTTTGAGATATCAATTTGGGGAAGGAGTAGAGGATTCTTCGTGGGGAATGGAAAAGTTGGGGAAGAACTTTAAAATCGAATTTGGGGAAAAATTGGGGAAGATGGTTGTGCAGATGGGAACATGAGGGTAATTTTTTAAAAAATTATGATTTATAATTATTAAATAATTGAAATATATGACGTGTCACTATTTGCTTATGTAGCGCTGACATGTCTGTTGAGTTGGTGCCTAATCAGCAAACTGTCAAATAAGTTGACGGTGTGAATGACACCGTTAAAGTATCTAACGGAAATGGCTATATTTGTCATACAACAACTCTAAAAGCTGGCTATAAGTGGTATTTCGCCAAATCTGGCTACTATTGGCACAAACGCAAAAGTTTTGGCTATACAAGTGTATTTTGCCTATATAATATAGAACAATAGTTATTTCTTAGGTTATATTCAATTTTTGTTGGCCGAGTTAGGTACTTAGGTCCGAGTTATGACGATGGGCCAAAAGGCTCTGCTTGAACCCTTAGTTAATCCAACCCATCCAGTCCAGCTTGTGTATGTGTGAGTTTAACAGGGCCAGGGAGGTTGGGCTAAGGTCTGTGAGAGTGAGGAAGGTGGGCTGGGGGAGTTGGGCTTAGGTCTGTGAGACTGGGGGAGTTGAGTTGGGTTGAGGATGAGCTGGGCTAAGGGTCTGTGAGAGTGAGTAAGGTGGGCAGGGAAGTTGGGTTGAGGATGGGATGGAACTGGATGGGCAGAAAGGTGATTTAATTTTCTGATTTTCCTGATTTAAGACTGAGACGATTTCATTATCTCTCTATAATAGAAGAAAATCAATTCGGATTATAGTAAAAACTTGTTCTGATTTCCACCAGATTGGTTTACAGGATATGGGTTTCGGTCATACCAAAAATCAATTTTCAGCCCTAGGTTAATTTTAGTTGGTAAATGATTTATTAGTTTGAACTTTGATCTTCAATTTTTTAGTTTATTTACTTTAATTTTTATTTAGAAAACAAAAACAGAAAGAAACTTCAATCCTTGCCAGGAACATTGATAATGTCTTTACCATTATCGAAACATTAATGAGTCGTTTAGATGTGTTATATACTAAACTTGTTACTTGGGAACAACAGACATGTGACCGCCAACACATCTTCAAACATTGTGATAGTTTTTGTCTCGAAATATTTCGTGTAGATTTCATAGAATAAAAAATTTCTCTGAAACACATGAACAATTGAAGAAATAAATATTTGGGTCATAGTTGTATCATACATTGGGTTGTAACAGGAAGACTTCGTCCTATGCAGATGGTGGAAAAAATTGGGCCTTCCGAAGAAATTAGGATTTGCAAGAGATCGATTGACTGAGAGTTTCCAGTGGGCAGTGGGTTTAATCCAGGAGCCTCAGTTTAGTTACTGTCGAAAGACCATGACCAAGCTCACATGTCTCATCAACGTAGTGGATGATGTCTATGATGTTTACGGTTCCCTTGATGAGCTCCATCTCTTTACAACCGCCATTCAAAGGTCATACGATTACTAGCTTACTCTCGTATTTTCGTCACAAGATCAAGTTAAAAAATGAATACTACATCATTCTCTTACAACTACGTACGAGTGCATATGCATGTAACGTTTTAATACATCCACAGGTGGGACGCAGGTGAACTGGACTTGCTCCCGGAGTACATGCAAGTATGCTTTATGGCAATCCACGACACCACTAACGAACTAGCCCATCACACGATGGAACAACAAGGCTTCAACAGCTTGCCTTACATCAAACAAGCGGTAATTAAGCCGTATTGCTTTGTATTGATCTAGGTACTTAATTCCTTTAATGTGTGCTCGTTAGTTTTGGATCACTTTCAGTGGCAGGAACAGTGTAGACGGTATCTCGAAGAAGCCAAGACTTTCCACAACAATGGTGGGTTGGACATCCAAACATTCGAGGAGTATTTGGAACACGGAAGGAAGTCAATAGCATCAAGGATTGTGTTGATTCACACTTACGCTGCATCGGGTGAGACTCTCACCAAGGAAGCTTTTAACTTTTTGGATAGCCACCGTTGCTCGCCTTACCAATGACCTAGCAACCTCTAAGGTATACACATGCATAACTTTCTTCGGTCTGGTCGACATTATGGATAGCGCATAATTTTGCACCGTGCTAGCTAATTTGTTTACTCTTGCAGGCGGAACTAGAAAGAGGGGATATTCTCAAGTCGGTAGAACGTTACATGAAAGAGAAGGGTGTTTCTGAAGAAGAAGCACGCAAGTACATCGAATGGCGAATTGGTGAAGCGTGGAAGAGAATCAATGAAGAGGCTATGGCTAACTTTGGTGGTGATGGCATGGCAATGTACGTCAATCTGGCCTTGAATCTTGCTCGCGGACATCATTTCATGTATCACCATGGCGACGCGAATGGATCCCCTACCCAAAAGCACAAAGAGCGTGCCATGAGATTGATTTACCAACCATTTCCAATCCTAGCAATGGAGGCTAGCTAGCTAGTCCTGCATGCGTTGGAAAAGAACAACGTGACATGTATGCATCATTTATTCGCGATAGGGAGCGTCTAAATAATTACGTGTTGGGTTCGGTATTGTTAGTAAATAGTATATGATCCGGCAACGATTGAACATCTCCCAACAACTTGAGTTATTATTATGGGATCAACTGGTTCTTAACATGGTCATAGAGCCTTCTATGACCGAGAGGTCTTTGTTCGAATCCCGATGATCCCCCATATGTTTCTGTTAATTAAGCACATGGTGTCCAGACCAGTGCAAACTTCAACCCCAACATATCTTGATGGGGCATGGAGAAGCCAAGCCATCAGGGGTGGCTATACGGTCCGATCCGGTTAAATTGGTCCGAATTGATCCGGTATCGGTCAGGTCTTTTCGGGAATATAAGGACCAAAGATTGGATTGGATACATTCCGGTCTTGATCCGGTCCGTTCCCAATTCGGTCTTCATTTTAGATTGAACTTGTGGAAATTTGAGTGGTCTATCTGAGGCCTCAAATGATGATGAGTTGGTTAAGTTTAGGATGTTGGACTCTCTTATCCGGTTTCGATCCAGTCACAAACTGTTTTATACCTCAAAGTTAAACTCGAATATGGGATTGAATTGTTTGCTATCCGGTTCCGGTCCAATCTCAATCCAGAGTATACGATCCGATTCCGAGTAAAACCAAATAGCCCGGACCAAATAGTCAACCCTACGAGCCAGCATCCAACGTTGATCCCTGTCCTTTTGAGTTCATGGAGTGGTGACGAGGGGATGTGTTTGGTTGACAGTCAAAGGAACGCCCATGATCGATGAGCAGTGAGTACAGTGGATACTTATGTTGTCTATAGAACTAGAAGCGGCCCACTGCATTTCTAGTTGTCTACCAAAGTCAACGTAATTCAATCCATGATCCATCAAATATGATATGCAAATATATGCTTCCACTACTCCAAAAGAAGTAGTACTCTTTGAATCCAATGGAGTGGGCAAGCACAGTGAATAAGGGAGAAGGAAAAGAAAGATGAGCTTTGCTTTGCGCAGCAAATAAAAAAAAAAATTGCGGATGTAGAAGAAGAAACAGTAGCCCACATGGACCCATGATAGTTGGCCTCAATATTTGTAGCAGTAGAAGTGTGTTACGAGATTGAGTCGACGTAGTAGTTATTACGTAAAATTAGGTTTGTGTGTCTTTATTGTTTTTACGTATTAATTTATTGTGCTAAAACTTTGAGTTTGATTATTTTAAATTGTGCAGTAGTTGAATTAAGATTTTGGGTTAATTATTGCTTAGGAGTAATTAATGTTTCTTGAGGTAAAAGGAGGGGGGAGGAAAAGACATGTTTGGGGTTACTGGTTTAGGGATGGAATAGCCAAGCTAGCATAATTAATTAACTAATTAAGAGTATTATAGTACTACTACTACCTATCCATAGTACTAGTAGTTCTCTTCTCCTGCATGCCACTGTCTTATGAATTTGGGTTTGGTAGACAAATTACAGTTTTGTAGCTAAACTTAATAGATGATAATATTTAGCACCTAAAATTAATTTTTTTAATATAAGTCTTAAAAATATACCAAAAATTATATTTTAGTATCTAAATTTATTATGCCTTACATTTTGATACCTAAACTTTTTAAATTATACAAATAGATCCAATTTCATGAGGTTCTTGTCTGATTTAAGAAACTTGTGGTCTGTTTTATGATATTTATGGTCTGCTTCATGGAACCTGTGATCTATTTTATGAGGTTTTGTTATGCTTTAAGAAACTTGTTATATGATTTATGAGGTTGATCATATGCTCTAGGGAACTCGTTGTTTCACTTTAGTAATGTGTGGTATAGTTTAAGAAATTTGTCGTCTGTTTTGATGAACTTGTGGTGTGTTTTATGAGGATTTGGGTATGCTTAAGGGAATTTGTGGTCTGGTTTGATAAACTTGTGGTATGCTTTATAAAACTTGTGATCTGCTTTAAGAAACTTATGTTATGCTTCAAGAAACTTGTGATGTGATTTATAACTTTTTTATATACGGTAATGTTAGTATCATGCTATTACTAGGACTCTAACTTTGGTGATTTAAGACGGGGGCAAAATTATTAGTGTACTCGTTTATTGGTTAACGCATGAGAACCCAAATTACTCTGGCTTCCATTATTCTTTGCTTTTCGTTTTCGAGTATTTTGTTTCTTCTTTGAGCTTGTGTTGCCAAATTTCTTCGAGTTATTATTCTATCAAGAATCCAAGATCCTGACTCGTAACCAAGGATTGAAATACCGTATCGGAAAAGTTAGTGTTAGGGTATTTTAAGTTAAAATCGTGGTTCAACCGTTTAATACCGCTAAATATCACCGGTACGATACAGTATTTTCTGGTCTAACCGCTGATACGGTATTTCAATCATTGCTCGTAACAGAGTGAAGTGGATATTACCATCATTGCAACGCTATTAAGCTACTTCCTTTCTGAGTTTTGAGACACATTTTGACCATTAATATGGCAGGAACATAAGAGTTCAATGGAAATCCCAGAAAATGTTCCAAAGAGAATCTTGATTTGCCTTCTCCCTACCAAAACCACTAACTTCTCCTTTCATTATCGATCACAGAAAAAGTATCAGACATCCTTAGGTTTCTCAAAGGCTGTGAAAGCTAGGCATCTCTCTCTATATATCTATGCAGATTTGGGAAGTTTGTTCGTTACATTTTCATAAAGCTGGCTGGCCACATTACTATATTCTCCCCCCACCCCACCCAGAAATAAGATGAACTATGTAAGCTAATGAAGACCAGCTTTTCGTTAAAGCTACTATAGCTCATGGCTAGAAACTTCAGTGATCGACTTTTTCCTTGTTAATTCAAAAGCTCGATCACTCCCAGCTGCTTTGTGTGTGCGACTGCAACTTTTCTTGCTCTAACTGGCAAAAAGATTCTTATGTGTTCAAAGTACTGTCTATCATCGTATTTAGAATGGTCATCATTCATGACTATGATTCGGTGATCGATTCCTATGCTAGTTGCATGCGTTTTTAATGAATAGTTTGATATTTTAATTTGGTATGAAAGAGAATTTATTGATTTTAGTTTGCCGGTCTAATGATTTTCACTCACCGTTATTACGGGTAAATGACACATTTGGTCACCGAGATTACTAAATCGTGTCATATTTAGTCACTAGAAAAATTTAATATCAATTTTGGTCACTCGAATTACTGAAACAGGTCACATTTGGTCACTCTTCTGTAGCCTCTGTCCAACTCCGGTCACTCGAATTATTGAAAAATGTCACATTTAGTCACTCGGATTACTGAAACATGTCACATTTAGTCACTCTCCCAAAAGTTTCCGTCCAACTACATTAATGGAGTTGGACGGAAACTGACGGGAGAGTGACTAAATTTGACCAGTTTCGGTAATTCGAGTGACCAAAATTGGTATTAATTTTTTCTAGTGACTAAACATGACACAATTTAATAATCTCAGTGACCAAATGTGTCATTTACCCCCGGTATTACTATTTCCTATGTGTAGTGATGTAGCCAGTATTTCATGTAAAATGTTCTTTTTGCGAAAATAAAATTTTTTTTTTTTTTTTTTTAGATAAGGGTGATATATGTTACTTTTTTTTTTTTTTGTTATTAGGTACTACTGAAGGGACTCGAACCTGGGACCTCCAGGTTCATGACTAGTGGTATTACCACTAGACCAATACTAGTGGTATTAACGAAAATCGATGATATATTTTCATACTATGAAAAAACATGTAACATATACATTCATCCTCAAATTATCAAACATGTCTATCTCAATGTATTATAGCAAATAATCATTCGTGATTTCACCATTACTCGTCTGATGGTAAGGAGTAGTTTTCACTCTTTTAACAATTGTAGTAGAAACCAATAGCAACAACTCTAATTTCACAAGGAAACACACAAATGTACACTCAGTTGGCTTCTTTGTGACTATTATTGTCCTAGACAGCTAGCTTGGTAGTTCTCTTTTAATACAGATAATTCATGAAGATAAAAGGTAGCAAGTTTCATGTGGAGAAATTCGTACTTTTTGGAAACAGTGGAGATACTTGATTTCGCAAATTAGTTGTGTCTGCTGATAAAATTGTGACTAATTCAAGGTCTATTAATTTTTTTTATAAAAGTGATATACATTTACTTTTTTTGGTTATGTACCACTTAAAAAATTGGAACTTGAGACATCCAGATTCAAGGCAAGTAATATATCCAGTACAAACCGGGAACCCACCTTGTGGCTCTGCCACTAATGTTTGCACCCTAAGTGAACTGGAAGTTCATAAATCAAAACTCTCTCTCTCCATTAGAATATATAATTTGCTAAGCAGCATATATTTTTAGAAATTTTCTTCAAATTGGAGTATGAAGGTTACAAATACCTAAAATTCGTTGGGTTTGAAACATTCACGTACAAAATGATGATGCATTCATGGAACACCAGTTTGAAAACGGAGTGCGCGCATACCGTACAAGGATGTTGGGTGGTCATAGTGGAAAGTTGTTGGTCCTTGTTAGTTATAGTGACACCCAAGTTGTCAAGCAATCCACTCAGCCATATGATCTAGTAACAATCATCTTCACGGCATGATTCTTGACCTTTGTGGAAGAATGAGCTAGCCCTAAGGTTTTGTTTCTTGGTTCAGGTGTAAGTGCCACTTTGGTAACTAATAGTGAGGGATGACAATGAGCGGGTTTTGTGCGGGTTTTTCTAAACTACCATCATAACGTACATTTATATTTGGTCCATACTTATATGGAGAAATGTAATTTGTAACTTTATCCTCATATCCGCAAATAGTCTGGGTAGTACCTGGTTGAGCCGTACATCCAATACTATTATACATATAATTAATATAGTAAAGATAACTAAACAAATATATTTTTAATTATAAATCAACAAAGATATAATCGTTGTTAATTCAAGTTCAATGCATTCGACCTATAACATCTATTAGTTCATAAGAGGATCAATGTTTTCCACATCCAGTGATCAAATTTTTTTTATGCATGTTATATTGTAGTAAGTAGCTTGATGTATTTTATGGTCTTCACTCAATATAATTTTGCACATGTTGTTAGTGTTGTAAACAGGTTCATGGTGCAACTTGGGAAAGAACATTTTTTTTTATAAGGGTGATATAGGTTTCT